TGGGGGGAAGGGGAGGAGGCAGGAGGGGGAGAACAAGGTAATCCATGGCTGATATGTAGAACTGAATGATATTGTAAAATAAAATAAAAGGAAAAAATTAAAAAGAAGGTAAGGATTGATGGTTCTTCTCCTTCCTTATCCCACATGAGCGTTCTTCCACTAGGGATGCTGAATCAGGAAACAGGGCAAACAGAAGCCATGAAGGAAGTCTCACTTTCCAGAACCCTAAAGAGAGGGCAATTGCCTGCCTGGGAGTCCTTTTGGCTGGAAGGCAGCATGAGGATGAAGCAGATAGACCCCAAGAAGGAGATGGTACTAGATGAGATGGTGTGAGGCTCCAAGAAATTCCCAGGTCAAAGCAGAAAACAGATGGTTTTAATAATTTTGTCACATATGTTGCTGAAAGATGCCACAACTCATTAGAATTCCTTTTAGGGTGATGTTTACATTTCAAGTTTCTCATGGACTGGAGCAGATGGACCATGGCTTTAAGCCTTAATAGAGTTATACGTCATGATCTTGACTGTTCAGTTCCACCCCCCTCGCTCTCTGTTATTTCTAATGTGGCTAAAGAGACATAGATACTTAAAAGCACAAAGACAGGGAACTACATTTTCTCACCTAGGAAGGACCCTTTCAACAAATGTAAAATTCTTTCTAGATTGTAGAATATTCTGCCTCTGATTTCTGCATCTAGATGTTCTATCAACAGGTTTGGCACAATCTTGTCAGAGAAATAGGCATCTATGTGGCCAAGTGGGACATCAGTATGTAGAATCTCCTTAAACTTATTATTCATTCTGAATCAATAATGGCTCACAAGTCACCATATGTCAAACACATGTTTTGGTTCTGATGATAGAGCATTTATCAGGAACAAGCAACATTCATACACACAGACCCCACACTATATATATTTTCTACAGAAACAGTTCCCATTAAATAGTCAAAGAAATGAGAGTAGGAGGTTGTGAACTTGATGTTTAAGTTGCTTGCAAAACTCAAAGCATAGCCCAGGAACCTCCTTTTAGAATTCCAGGAAATAAGGATTTCTTTCTTTATCTAAAAACTGAAGATATCAATACAAATCAAGAGTATTTTTCCTCAGCTTGATAGAGGCTGCCACAGGGTCATAGCCAGGGAGCTTCAGGGTCAGGGAATAGGCCATGTTGGGTCTTAGCCAAGTCTTCATGCCTCAGGTAAGTTGTAAACATAGGTCCATGTAAACTATCACCCTAATGTGGGGCTGTCTCACTGGGGGAAGTGTGTGGACTAAATGAACTAATTCACATAAACTGCTTAACTCTGGATGCCAGACAGTGAAATCAGTTAATATCGGTATTTTTAATTGAAAAACAATTTTCCATAGAATGAATTCTGATAAATTTTCCCTTCCTCCAACTCCTCCCAGATTCTCTTTACCTCCTTACCTCCCCAACTCCCATCCTTTTTTTCCTCTTTAAAAAACAAATCAATAAACAAACAAATAACAACAACACAAAGCAAGAAACACACACACACACACACACACACACACACACACACATATTCCTCTAATGGAACAGACTATGATAAAAATGGAATGGACAAGCAGTGCAAAATGTCAGTGTCTAGGCAAAGAGGGTATTTGCTTTGCAGAGGCCCAGCCAATGAAGAAACTCATGATATCTTCAGTTTGCCCAGTGCTTCTGTCAACATTTAGGCTTTCAAGCCAAATTCATTCTTGTTGTGTTTGGGGGTCACTCTAATTCCTAAATTTGTCACCAAGCTTTTTAATGAGGATGTGGATGGGGATTTGATCTGTCAGTGGCAAGTCATTCTGTGTCATCCAAAAGACTGTCTAATGCCAACCTTCTTATTAAATAGTTGCATCTCCCTTCGTCTCGACTGTAGCGTTTTCCTATCAAAGAAACATTTGTTTTCACTCTCTACCATTCTACTTACCACAAGGAAAGCAACACAAAGAAATGAGTCAGACATACCTAGATTCCAATACTGGTTAGCTAGTTCTGGAGCTGGCTTGTCATTTCCTATCAGAAAATGGCATCAATCTCACAGAGGCACTGAGGATTTGAAACAAACATTATACACTGACTGAACTCTGGACATGACGTTGGCACCAATCCCCAGCTCTGCCTCTAGTCTTCTTAAAACATTCTTTCCATAGCAGCAACATTTTCAGGGAGAGTGCATGCCAGCAGCTGAAATGACACACTTTGGAGCCAGCCTGCTAGGGTTCCACTCCTTTGTCTGCAACTACTCATTCTTTTGCCTCGGCACATCTTTTAAAACTTGTGTTTAAAGGATTTGCTTCAGTTTCCCTATGTTGAAAATGAAGCTAGCAAGGGAATTATCTCAAAAGGATGGAACAAGTTACTATATTCTCAGTATCTGAAGATTGTGTAATCTATTATGTGGTCAGTATACAGCCAGCAAGCAGCTAAATAGAAGTGAAAGATGGCCCTGGATGATGAAACAGCAGAGAGAAGAGAACAGGTGTAACTGTTTGCTCTATAACTCCCCAAGCCTATGTGCTAAGGAACAGAGAACTACAGTTGCTCAAAGAGTTCACTGGACTGCAACCTACCTGACCTGAGCTCTCACCAAAAACAAGACATCTGGTCAACTTCACAAAGCACACACTGTCAGACACTGCAACGTAACTAATTCAATCCCAGGATTCTTTGGATCCTTTTTCTTGCAACAGAGCATCTTCGTCAAAGGTGAGGCTGTTATCCAAGTGACTTCACTAGATCCATTTCTCCCTTATGATTCAGCCAGGGACCTCCTCCCGTGTACCAAATGGATTTTTTTTGTATGTGTGTCTTGAAAGGATTTTTTTTCCTTCTTCCTTCCTCAACATGACTCATCTATTTCTTCTTGCCTGTAAGACACTTCCTTTGTTCAGTCTCCAAAACATTCTTGTAAAGCAGGCAGTGAGAATATAAAACTAAACCACTGGAAGCTGAAATGATGAGAGTCTATCCTCTTGTAGTACCCCAGCAGCATGGCTGTGGCTGGAAGGCTCAGAGAAAGAACAACTCTAATGAGGTCAGACAGCCTCAGTTCACAGCCTTGCTCTACACGAGACAGATAAACTGGTGTCCAGGGAATGTCGTTTCACCTCTGGTTTTGTTTTCTACTATGGAAACTGGGGCTAAGACGAGTACCTCCTCAGATCTGGTAAAGACTGAAGGTGCAAAGACAGCAAAAGCTGTTTGAACAGTGAGAGCTACCTAGGCTGCTTATTTCTGAGCTCACAATCAGTTCTTAGCACTGACTGCATGTGTAAATGAAGAGAGCTAAGGGACTCAGACAGAGAGGAGAGATGTGTGATAGCTATAGTGTATGTGT